ACAATGAGAAGCAAACGATCCCAATTCGCCAGTCCTTGGAAAAAGTCACAAACAAATGGGAAAAGCATCAATGCTTGGAATTCCGACCAAGGCACACTAAAAAATAACAATGACAACAAAAATTTTAGAAGCTCTTTTACTGTACATTAGTGAACAGTGTCAACCCTCCATTTCCTGTCTCTGACTTCATAAAACATTTTTCAAAAAGCTGCAAAGCTCAAGTCACATGCCCTCGACTAGATAAAATATTCCAGGACTCCTGACTCTCGTGCTTTCCTGCTAATGCCAGACGAAGTTCATGCCTCCTTCCTGCTGAAGCGTAGCTCTCCTGTCATTAGGTCTCTAAAGCTAATTTATTGCTTTAAAAGTAAGAATAGGAATGTGGTTAGCAATTTACCGATGAGCACAGATTGAAAGATAAACTAAGGGAGGATGTAAAATCCAGAACAGCAAGTAGAATAGCATACCAGAGAGGTATGCAGGGCCACGAACATGCCTATAGCTATCTACCCTGGATCCTGCTATTAAAATCATAAAATTTCACAAACACAGTTCTAGGGAAATGCTATGAAGGATGAGAAGATGTCCATGTTGAAGGTGGTAATACAATCGAAGTGCAAAACTGGTAAGAGAATTTAGCATGATTTTAAACAACCCAATTCCTTAAAAAAATTAAAAGATTTTCTACTCAAAAATGATTTTTCCCCCCTATCAGATGAATCTGAAACCAGGCCTTGTTTCAGAGTTCATTCACTAACAAGGCAGTTGTCATTAAAATGACAAATCCCAGTTTTATTCACCCCAGAAAAAGTGCTCTATTTGGGGGTAGGGGGGATTTCTAAATCTCCACTGAACTATTGAAATATATAAAGTATTTATTTTAACACATAAAAAACCCCAGCAGCAACCCTTATGAAAAGAACTGTACGCGAAACGCTATGACCGGCTCGCTTTTTTAGGCAAGCAGTATTTAGATTTATTATTAGCGAGGTTCAAAGGTTAAAGCTAAGAAAATGCGGGACTCTTGGAAGGAGGAGCTAGCGCAGCCAGGGATCATGTGACAGCTGCTGTTGGAAAATGTTAAAAAGGCAAAGGGGGAGAACGGGGTATCTGCCTACTCTTCTTCCTTTACTGCAGCATTTGATTTTCACCAAAAATTTAAAAAGGAAGGCTAAGATGTGTACAACTCTCAGAAGAGGCCCCAAAGAAATAAATCAGCCCCAGGCTGACGGAGCACAGCTGACACCCATCACGGCTTCCTTGCAAAGACAGAAGAAGGCTGCACTTAAAAATGAAACCACATCTCTGTAGTGAATTTCAATGAAGACAGCCTAATCGCAAACCAGTTAGGACTTTTTCTGTCACTACACTTACAAAATTAAAACACTCTTTATTATAATGTGTGCCATTTTGTTTCATGATTCATTTAAATGTTTATTTATATGGAAAGAATACATTTTTCTTAAACTATCTTGTGTTGCCTTTTTTTACAAAAGTATTTTCAGAACTCACAACCTTCCAGAAGGCAAGGCAAACAGAGATAATTAAATGTTGCAAATTATACATCAGTTAATTATTAAAAGCAAGTTATGTATCTTTAAAATCTTTTAAAGGGTGTTATTAGAAAAATTGTGGCTTTAATTTCTTTATAAAGTATACATTTTCTATGTCTCCATAAATATTGTGTTAGACTCCTTAAAATGTATTTTTCCTTATGTGTACAATTTTTACATTTAATTCAGAATGATGAAAAAATTTCATGATTAATGCTAATATTTTATTGACATGAGATACGAAAGTAATAGCCCATGGCTGGATTTAAAGTTGGATTTATGACATCATTTTGATTGTGCACATTAGCTGCAATTACCTGCACCACTCATTCTGAGCCACTAGATGGTGTAACAAATAGATTAAAAACAGCAACATTGCATTCCATCATCAGGACATCTAAATATAACTCTGAGAAAAACTAAACAAGTTTCTAGGCATATAACAATGCTAGTGATTTCTATACTAATTCTAATTTTAAAAAATCTATCAATATACATGTGATCAGCTCTACTTTGATCTAGAAACAAACCCCTTTGAGCAATTTTTCACCCTCTCCTACTAAGGGCCTTGAGTTCTGAATTTACAGTAATGCCAAGAATTTAAATTGCTGTCATCATTCATATATTAAGTGAACTTATGATATTCACTTATGGTCTATGTTTGCCAAGTTTTGATAAAAACTGGAAGGCCAAGCCAAATAAAAATTTAGTCTCCAGAGATTCCAATCTGAACTTGCCCAAAGCAAAGTGGAAGAGTCATTCTTCACAAACATATACTCACCCTTAAAGCAACCAGACAACCAACTTCCCGAACACCCATCAAGGGCCCAGAATTAGTCCAAATTCCTTAGAGGGAGAGCTAAGTGTCCTTTATGCTCACCCTCACTGAGATACCTCTGGTAGATTCCACTAGGTGCACAGCTGGGTAAATATGGACAGCCACTCAGCCGATGGTGGTGATGTGTGTAATAGCCCCTATGCCGGACCACCACTAACCTGGGCTCTACGATCAGGCTTCACAGACAAAATTACAATCTCCACAAAACAGTTTTGGGAGTACTGGAATTACCTCCCCGGGAATGCTAGAAGTGTAGCACACATATATGATTATCTTTTTAATTTCATATCAACAGGAAATGGTTTTGAAGGCAATGGGAGGGCTGAGACCTGCCCATGGAGATGCTGCCTGCTTCACAGCCCCTCCTGGAGGCTGGTACTCCCAGGCTTTCAGCAACAAAGACAACCTGGTTCAGGGAGACGACTTTAAGAACAGACCCACCTGGGCTTCATGAGTTTCACATTTTACCATCTATAATAATAAAAGTGTAATATGCTAATTAGACCAGACATCCTTCCGGACGAAGCCGGCGCTGCAAGGGAAGCCTGGGTCCCAGGCGCCTGCTGGTGGCCAGAGGGAAGCCCGGGTCCCGGGTGCCAGAGGGAAGCTGGTGCCGGCAGCCGGGGGAAGGAAGGCCTACTCTTGCATGAATTTCGTGCATTGGGCCTCTAGTAGGAATATAATGGGCATCTGCCATTTGCTCCTCTAATATGAGAGTCCAAGTGAAAGCTAGTCAACCTTTTAATTTTATACACAATTGCAGCTAAATTAGGTGAAAGAAGCTGTGAGCTAAGTAAATTTGAGGAATGATGCCAAGGAAGTTTGTCAAGAACTGAAACTAGCCTGGCCGGTGTGGCTCAGTGGTTGAGTGGCAACCTATGAACCAGGAGGTCACGGTTCGATTCCCAGTCAGGGCACATGACCAGGTTGTGGGCTCGATCGCCAGTGTGGGGCATGCAGGAGGCAGCCGATCAATGATTCTCTCTCATCATTGCTGTTTCTATCTCTCTCTCCCTCTCCTTTCCTCTCTGAAATCAATAAAAATATACATTTTTTAAAAGAACTGAAACTAATCAGTTTGGTTCCTATATTAAGTACTTAACTCAAAAAACTGTTGTCTTAACTCAGGCAATCAAGTGCTTAATAATAGGCTGAAGGCGAGAGTTGTGATATGGCCATCCAGAGCTTCCCAGAACTGAAAGTATCTTTCAAAAATATATATTTAAAAATCTCACACTAATGAGCAGAGGACTGAGAAATAAAATATAACTCTTAGCTTTGGGCACCTCAACCAGCAATTATCACGGTTGGCTATATGTATTTACTCACCAAATATTTCCCCAATAATCTACAAGTGGTCATATCGTATTTCTTTTGCATTCCTGGTGCTTAGAATGGGACCTGGCCCATTATAGGTACTTTATGATGGTTTCAAATTAAACACAAGGATGAAAAGAAGGGGGAGAGAGAGGGAGGGAGGAGGAAAAAAGAGAGAGGGATGGAAGAAGGAAGGAAGATATAAGCACAAGATGAAAACAGCAGAGAGCCCTGATCTGGAAGTCAAGATGCTTTGTGAAGTACAGGCTCTGGCACTCTCTTGACCCAAGTCCCTTACCTGTAAAAACCACAAACAGATAGATGACCCCTAAGATCCCTCGCTCAATCGTTCTGACTCTCTGCTATGGTTTTATGCACCAGCCAACAAATGTTAAAATTCTCTTCTGTATCTAACAATCATAGCATCTTTCTGAAAAGTCCAAAAGATTTCTCTAATCAAGAAACCACATTAAACTCCTAGACTTATGTATTATACAACATTTTCATACTTATAGTTTCCATGTGTCATTTGTTTCTAAAATCGCCTCATAAAGGAGACTGAAGGGGGTATTTTTTAACCCCCACGAAACAGTAGGGAAAGTTAAAATATGAAGATTAAGGGGGTTCACTCACGTCATCAGAAGTGTAATCACAAAAAGAAACTTTTAGATTGAAGGACAGAAAGATTTTGAATAATCCAGTATCTTAAAGAGGCACAGACATGATTTTTCATATGCAAAGATGAGTTCATGCAACGTACTTTGCTATTATGTTTACAAATACAATTATGTTAAACTTAAAAAGGAATTACCTAAACCCGTCTGAGTAGAAAAGCATTGCTCTTAAATTGTCGGAACACCCCACGTATTTACATAAAGATGAAAAGCTTATTCTATAAACACGGTGTTTCCAGTAGTGAATGGCAGGCAAAATCAGAATAAGCACACAGAAGAATAAAGAGGAAGAGGAAAGAGAGACATAATAAATAACCTAATACCTTACAATGTTAACTTGCACATAAGTATATTGTTTCTGGAGAAGGCAGTGTGGATGGGAGCCAAAGGCTCAAGTGATAGGTAAACACACTGCTAAGTTGAATCCTGTTATCTGATTGTGTTTAAATTTTGATTATATTTCACTTGACAAAATAATTAATTATTGTGAACTCCCGATTGTTAACAAGGACCTAGAAGAATTCCGATTGGCACTTTCCCCAGGGTTGCGATCCAAAGGCGTAACAACCTAGTTGTGTAGTCACCCTTTACAGCTGCCATTCTCGGGTGTCTGCTTACCTTGCTCAGAATGTAAATCACATCCCCACGTTTAAATGACAACTCGTCCGAAAGAGCCCCTGTGCAGTCCCACAAACCCTGGTAAAAGTTAGCATAATCGGTGCTTTTGTCTCCTGGGAAGAAGAGAGAGAAAACATGAGTTAGGGCTTTCGTGCAGTGGGCCCTCATTCAAAAATGAACCAAGAGAAAGGAAGGGGCCACCCCAAACCATCTCAATATTCTAAAAAATTCACTCCTGACTCAGAGAAAGCTTTTATTCCCTCCATACAAGAATCCTACTTCTACTGTCATCTAACTAAGGATCATTTTCCAAAAGACCTGATGTTGAATGTCTGTTTTTTCTCTTTCTCTCCTTTTGTTGTTCCCCTAAAACCTGTAATTGCACTGTTTTCTCGTCAAACCAGCACCTAAAAGTTACTCCCACTTGTTTTACAGACGAACCTCAGCCCCTGGCAACATGCTTTGAAGATGAGAGCAACAGCCACGAGCCGCGAGAGACACACTGTGTGCGAAGTAACCGCCTTTCCGGAGTCGGGGCACTTCAGACAACCGATGATAACAGGTGCGAATCTAACCCGAGCTAGGGGACGCTTTTTTAAAAATCCTAAAACCGAAAGCTCGTTTCAGAAAAAGGATAAAGTGGAAATAATACGAAGGGTAACTCCAGCTCTTCTCTTTGGGGACTTGGGGACCCAAAGCCTCTCAAAGTTATTTTACAAATATTTTAGCAACTTAGACATTGTCAGTGCTGAAGCTGCATTTCTCAAGACGCCTGTCAGCCCTAGTTTAGGACATTAGGCTCTGAATAAACATGCAACATACACTGGCGTTATCAGCTCATCCTTCTAACAGCATAAGCACAATGGATGTGATGTGCTCAAGCTGCCATACAGACCATTAACTGATTGATTATTTAGCGCTCTCCGCTCTGTAATACCACAATAAACCGGGTAATAAATGCTTTGTCACTTATACAATGTGGCGCTCCTGAAACACAGCACAGAGTGAAGTACACTGGGTGCTTTTGTTACACAGAGAACCGCTTCCTGTTTTTAATTTCATGATAATTGAGTTTTGATGAGTTAACGCAAAAAGAATGCAAGCAAAGAGAATGCAAGTGATATCACTAAGATGTCCGTGTATTCACTAACCAGGCAGAACATATACGGGCTGCCAGCTTCCATCACTGAGTGTCATCTTTGAATTCTGAGGGGATAACTGTGGAGACACATGCTGGATCGGGGTTGTCATCCTAGTTTTGTTAGATGGCTCTCAACCAGCAGGCGCGCTGGCAATTCCAACACAACTAGGCACATTAGCATGTCATTAGGGCGTTCGTCTTATGACACATGGTTGGTGATATGTACAAAGTGCTATGTTCATTCGAAATTTTTAAAATTCTCTTTAATAGTGGAAATATTTTTTAAAGCCAAGGAGAAGATTTGAACAACAGGGGTCTGAATATTAGGAAGTAAGATGCTACTTTTCAATTAAACTTTTAAGGAAATAAACAAGGACTAGAATACACAACCTAGTAAAACCCTCCTATGCATTTTTCTCTCTCGTTTTCTAAGAATTAAAACAAAGAGAGGGAGGGGAGGAGGGGATGGGCGGGGGGAGGCAGCGAGGGGGGGGGGGAGGGCGGCAGAGAGAGACGAACCTTGTCGACCTCTCCGCTCTAGCATGTGAGCACCCATCACGGCTACCAGCAGGGATGGGCACAAGCCTGGGAATCCAACCAAGAACTGACAATGCAGTGTCCGCCTTCATTACATTCCCCCCTAAAGCGTATCGGAAGTAAATTCCATAAATGGACACTAGAGGTCACTCTGGCTGGACAGATCACTCCAAACATTGTCAATTTTTTTTTTTTTAGAAAAAAATTACTTAATAATAAAGTGACTGATTTCCTTTAAAAACCACTTATTTAGACAAATAGAGATTTAGAAGCTGAAACATCCTAGTCAGATTAAATCAACTGCTAAATGGGTCAAATGTTGCGCCCCATGCAGTCCGTCAGTGTCAGTTTAAAAGTCCAGGAATTAGAGCAGAGAGAGGATGACATCATTTCACATGCATGGCCCTCCCCCACCGTCACTGGCCAGGAGGCAAGAGGATCTAAATAGTTGAGGCTCCTGTGTGTTACCCATGCTGCTCAGCCTTAGGCTTGATCCAAAAAGGCTGAAGAAACGAAACTTGGGCTAAAAACTAGAGTAGAAGTGGTGGCTTGGCCGGGGCATCCCAGCAGCTTCCCCAGCTGTCTAGCCCGCTGCCTGCTCTTCCCTTTTTCAGACTCTCTCACAACAGTTTCTCATTCGATAGATTTTCTAAAGGTGGGGGGAAGGAAGGAAGGAAGAAGAAAAGTATATGATCATTTCTAATGCATAATAATCCTTATCACTTTGGGGTCTCTCTTCCTCTCGATGCGCTTGGTGAAACTCCCATTAACACTAATGGGAGTTGCAGGAGCACAGGAGGGGCACGGAGCCCCCCACCGCGTGCAAGATGCATCTCTCCCTAGATGTGCATCAAGAGCATTTCATTAACTCTCACTGCCGTGGAGGCGGCGGCGGCGCTAGCGGCGGGAGGTGCCGGGAAAAGATGCGTTTTCCTCCGCGCTCTCCGTAACCTTGATGATGATGTTACCCAAAGACCAGCCTCATTTCTGGGTCCCATATGTGAGCTCCGTTGAGGAATAATAAGCTGTTTGTGTCACGTGCTGCCGGGGCCTACACTTTACCATTCTCTCTATGTCAGCCGGACGAGCTATACAGCAGCATCGCCGCTGGGGAGACACCAGGCAGCGGGTGCTGCTTCGCCTGGGTCTCCTCCGGAAAGTAACGCGCAGATCCTCGGTATCAATTCTGGACATAAAATTAGGGCTGGTCTTGCTCCTTGCTGCTCTGGTTTACTTTTTAAAATTTTCATTGTGGCTAAACAGACACCAAGAAATTGTGCCTGGACGTGGCCTCAGAAGCACCGTGGGCTCACGGAAGTAACCCTGCTCACCTACACTCGGAAAACGCATCCAGGGAAAGTATGTTTTTTAAAAAACAACAGGACACGGGGTGAAGCATCATGTCATAAACCACAGATAGGCATACATTCAGAATACAATCTGTTTAGCTGTCTTTACCGCACGGATTGGTTTTTCTATTCCATCCACATCATGATCTATGTTTTCAAAATTACAAAAAAAAAAAAAAATCATCTCATTATTTATGCTTCTTGTCCTGAGAGGCATGAATGGTTAAAAAAGAAAGAAAAAAACAATCTAAATTAGCCAGCCTGTGACAGATTTAAACAATATACTTGCTCCTGCTTTTTCAAAAATACAAAAACAGGTCATTGGGTATTAAGAGCAAAATTATTATGAAACTTACAAACTAAACGTTGGAGATACTTTTGCGAAAAATGAAAAGGTTTTAAACGTGATGACAATGGATGAAATATGCAATAATAAAATAATGTAGAATCTCTCCTTTAGTGGTATAAGTTAAAAAAACAACTTTAGAAAGGTAAGCATATTGTTCAAAAAAATGGAATCTTTAGGATATGTATAACATAAGCAAGATACAGAAGCATGAACATGAAAGAACTCGTAAGGAATCTGTGATTAATTTTGTTTTCACTTACGTATTTTACATTAGTCTGATTTTTTAGTAAAATCAGTCAATGTGAGAAATATGTAACATTCTTGAGCAAGGTTAGAAGTTCACATCATGCGGTGTGCAACAAGACAGTAATGCCCTGTCAGCTCGCTGCCCTGCATGGCAAACAAACTTCTAGGGTTACCTCCTAGCCAGCCTCGGAGAGCAAAGGTCGCCGCGACGCGAAAGCATGGAAACTGTTGCTTGAAAAGAATTTCATGTCACCAGAGATAAGAATTATTGCAGTGCTAATTTATGGCGATTGCACGAGGAACTGGACCTACTGAATGCATTCCTCAGAGGAAAGCCTGATTTTTTCCCCCTTCCCTCAGAGGCAAACATTTGGGAGATAGTTACTACCCAAGGCTTTTGAAAAACACAAGTGCTTTAAGCCAAAATACGTATCTTTGTGGAAAGAACAGCTATATGTGTCTTCATTCTACACCTGCATTGAAATCTTTAAAAAGGAAGCGACATGCTTTCGGCGGAGGCCTTGTGACACATAATAAAACATATCCCCTTAAATGACTATTGAGCGGGGTCCTCAAGGCTGCACCCCGCCTGTGTTTTATGGCTGCGCTTCACGGGGCCTGAGTGCTAACAGCTCCTGACTCCGGCCTCACTTCCTTTCTGACAAAAGCAAACCCCAACCTTCCGCAGCAACCTGCTCCTGCCTTCCTGCCGGGGCCGGAAACCAGGCCGCGTTTCCTTTCCACATGTCGCCGTCGGAAGGACTCTGGAGAGCGACTTCCTGAACACACACTCCTTGTCCACCCTGCCTGTGACAGCTTGAAAGAGTGATGTATGGACGGATCGGAGAGGAGAAGGTGACCCCAACTACAGCTCTCACCGGACATGGGACGACAGGGCAGGCCTCGCCCCGCTGACATGTGGCTATGAAGAGGCTGAAGTCCTGATAAGATGCTGTCCTTCTCTTCTGTCGTGTAAAATAATTGCTGGCTTATCAAAACTCACCTCATGCTTGCGCCACAGACAGGGTTTATCTCCCGCTGTTTGGAAATAACAAACAGCAAGAGCAGCTGCCCGTATCACGTGGTTCTCTGCACAGCACGTGTGGTTATTTTTCCAGCCTCGGCCATAATTAGTGCTCGGGGCGCCGTGGCAAGTGGACATGGATAAGGGGGCCCTCCTCCCCAGACCTGTCGGCCACCGGTGTCCTTTTGGGGTTTTTAAGCTGCTGTCACTGGACCCTGGCATTTCTTACCCAGTTCGTTCGCTTTCCGTGTTAATCATATGCAATGAAGATATGCATGGCCAACATTTAAACAGGCTGCAGATCAATTAGCGGTCTTAAGTTTATCTGATTTTTATCAAAGAAGACAGAGCTGCGGGTCGATTGTCAGAGCCTGTGTCAAGTTGACCTTTTCAGAGATGTCTACATTGCCAGTCCCCTGGGCAACTTGTTGTCCCCTGTTAGTCTCTGAATGGCAGAAGTCTGTTCTGCTCAGGCACAAAGTATACACAGATGTCTATATTACATTCTTATAGGTTTGACAGCAACTGCATGTTGTATCTATAAGCTGTCCTTTAGCAGTGACACTTCCTCAATGATGATAAGCTAATTTATGCAACTAAATCTCCTTTGTGCAGAAATGAAAGCTAATTGAGTCATTACAGAGTAATTCAGGAAGGAATACCTTGTATAAATTGGCTTACTTTATAAATCCTTCTCAAGTGGTTTTCACGCATCCTAAATGGGGCTAAGCAGCTTCTCAGCCATAAGATATCCAGACCGAAGGAGCACAGCTTGGGGAGCTGTGTGAACGCCTTCGGAGCGGCGAGAAAGTGAACACAACCCAGACAAGCGTCCTCGGGAGGCTCCGCGGCCAGTACCTGTGCTGTGATGACCGCTGTCCTGACTCATCTTCCTCTGCTCCTCCACTTTCCCGGGCGCAGCGTCCTCTTCCTCGTCTGTAAATAAACAACATAAACGGCTCACTGAAGGGTTTTCTCGGGATAACAGTACAGGATGCACCCCATCTGAAGAGCAAAATTAAAAGTTTATAACACAAAGATTCCTTTTCAGAGAAGGAAATCATTCCACATTCACATTCCTTTTTCAATAATCTAAAGCTGAACCAATAAACCTCCAAATAGCAACCTTACCGGTTGGCTTAATAGAATATGAGATATGTACCAGTGCTTCATTGTTTTAAATACTTATAGAAACTCATCTGGGATGATCTCAGATCCAGAAAAGCCCTGACATCCAGTAAAATGATACCCAGTACTACACAGACCACATTAAACTGGGGCAGGAGAAGCACAGATAAAACCATGGTCCCTAAAACATCATTGTAGCAGAGAGAAATGTGTGATGTAAAAACCATTTACTGAGTATCACAGACTTCATAGGTCTTCTCACTGGATCTCAGAGAACAACACTAGAAGGATCCTTACCCGTCAAGGCCCCCAATTATACCAGGAACCTGCTTTGTGTCATACACTACAGCACATGAAAGATTTCATAGATAAATACTTCTTCAATCCTCATTTTTCAGGTGACTAAACTGAGACTGGAAAAGGTAAAGCAATTTCTAATTTTTGTTATTCAAACTTAGGATTATGATCATAAAGTCCATGTTCCTTATCATGCACATATCAAGGGCCTTACCTATTCCCACACTCTCCCACCACATGTTCTCCAGTTATAGGAAGGAATATGGTAAGATGAAACAAGAACAGTTTTTAACAGAGTCAACAGACTATTTAGTGCCTTTACATCAAAGAAGTGTTTATTACATTACCACTTTCCTCACCTAAGGATTTATATACAGCTTAGAAATATTTAAGGCAGGGCATATGAATGAAATGGCATGCAAAAGAAAAAGTGGGTTCAAAAAGAATCATAACTTCACAGAAAAAAAATCCAAAACTTTAAAGAAAAATATGCAAAATATAGAAATATAACTATTATGACTATTAAATAATTCAACCAATAACTCTTCCTTGAGTATTAACCACATGCAAGAGACAGATTCTGCCAGGGAGGCAAGGACGTAGGGAGCATCTGCCTTGAGGAAGCTGACAACCTAGAGCAGTGGTTCTCAACCTTCTGGCCCTTTAAATATAGTTCCTCATGCTGTGACCCAACCATAAAATTATTTTCATTGCTACTTCATAACTGTAATGTTGCTACTGTTATGAATCATAATGTAAATATCTGATATGCAGGATGGTCTTAGGCAACCCCTGTGAAAGGGTCGTTCGACTGCCAAAGGGGTCACAACCCACAGATTGAGAACCGCTGACCTAGAGGGTCAGAAGACAGAACCTAAAGGGAAATGGGATGGGGCATACAACCTGACATGTGAGGCCCAGGCATGAAGGAGGGCAGAGAAGAAAGCGCCTCATGGGGCAATACCATGAAGGCTCTGAGCGAAGGAGAGAATCTGAATGAGAGACAGGAAGGAGAAAATTTCCAGACAGAAAGACATAAACAAAAGAACAAGACACCATCATATTCATTTTAGCCGAAGAACATGGCACTCAGAGGGAGAGGGTCGATGGGAGACAACGCGGGGAGTTTGGGCCAATCGCTGAAGGGCCGTGAACATTCTGCTGTGGACTTCAGACTTGTCCTTGGTGGGCGATATGAGCCCCAGAAGATTTTTGAGCAAAGAAAGGACAGGACTGAAGTTATGCTTCAGGAATGGTCATCTGATCCCACTGTGTTAGGTTCTGGAGGAGGGGTGGGAGGGGAGAGATGCTCCGAGTCTGGCTGAGGGGAAGGAAGTGCTGAACTGGAGGGGCAGAGGAAATGGAGAGGAGATGGTCGTGAGGGGTAAAGGAACTGGGATTGATAAGCTTTGAGCCTGACTGGAGGTGGAGGGCTAACGGGGCAAAGAGAGCAACCGAGGATGGCTGAGGCTCTGAGCTGAGTGAACTGAGAAATGCAACATCATTACTAAAAGGAGAATAGCTGAGCTAAGCTATTTTGCTGAGGAAACACAAGGAGTTGTGTTTCTGACATGAGAGATTGAATATGCCGGTGGGGTGACCCAGAGGAAATGGCCAGGGGCGACTGGAGAGGTGGGTAGAAGGGTCAGGATGGCACATGTAAATGTAGAAGATGCATGCAAATTTTAAAGTGGTGATTAATAAAAATCAACATTTAAATCAAGGTTGGGAACTGCTGTGCTTATAAGACAACTACAACTGTTTTGAATTTTTGTAACTCAGTTCAAACAAAATAATAAAAGCTCCAACATAAGGAACAGCTGGAAATATTTGGTACCTTATACATAGTAAGTTGAACTTAACATTGGCAATTTAATATTGTTCAGTCAAGTAATACTCTATACTAATAAAAGGATAATATGCAAATTGGTCACGACACCCTCATGGTCATGATCAGATATGCTAATTAGTCATGACCAGTATGCAAATTGCCTATCACTCCAACACACAAGATGGCCGCCCCATGTGGCCACAAGATGACCTACAGGGGAGGGCAGTTGTGGGCGATCAGGCCAGCAGGGGAGGGCAGTTGGGGGCAAATGGGCTGGCAGGGGAGGGCAGTTGGGGGAGATCAGGCCGGTAGGGGAACAGTTAGGCATCGATCAGGCTGGCAGGGGAGTGGTTAAGGGGTGATCACGCTGGCAGGCAGAAGTGGTTAGGGGCATTCAGGCAGGCAGGCAGGCAGGCAGGCAGGTGAGCGGTTGGGAGCCAGCAGTCCCAGATTGGAGAGGGTGCAGGCTGGGTTGAGGGACAACCCCCCCCCCCCCAGTGCATGAATTTCGTGCACTGAGCCTCTAGTTAATACATAAAAGACCTAAAAAAAGTTTCTCCAACAACAGTTCTCACTTTTGCCAAACCTCAAGGACTAGTTACCACACTGGACCTTAGGGTGTTAGGAATGTTTTCATCAAATTTTAAGGATATTAGGGACAGTTAGAGTCATTTAGCCTAACCTACTCATTTTACAGGTAGTGAATATTTTTGAAGGTGAAAGAAAACTTTCCTTACTTTTCACACTTGCTCTTCCCCCAGCACTCCCTCTCTTCCAATTTGGTCACAAATGCAATAACTAAGAAGTAAATTCAAAAATAGTTAAGGGCACTTGTCTTCAATCAAAAGCCATAACCCCCTCAATATTGGAAGCAGCATTCTTGGCTCTTAACGAGAGACTATGGGATTTAGACTCACCACCCAAAGTCAGTGTTGAGAGATCACAGAAAGTAATTATAATAATTAAATGAAAACCTGGCTCTTAACAAAGTTAACAAGTTGGAATTTATTACTATGAATGTATTATTATTTTAGTAAAATTTAAGTGCCTATCATATACACAGTGTATTTTTAAATTACCAGAATAATATTAAAAATATTTACTTAAATATCAATATTTACTATAAATATGTAAATTGAAATCAATGTGAGATGCTTAGTAAGCAGTATTTTAGAGGATCAGATGCTCATTAAAAACACTTCACTTTGAACCTAGGACTGATATGTTTAGGTCAAAGCCTTCTGTGTTTCATACAGTAATTTTTTTCTTCACAATGTTTAAACAACTCATTTCATCTTGATCTAACAATAAAACAGCTTCCATGTAAACGACAACAAAATCAAATCTGTTGTGTGTGTGTGTGTGTGTGTGTGTGTGTGTGTGTGTGTTTTAATCTTAGGGATAAAAAATCTCAGATTGAATCTTGAATAGAATATGATACAAGGGAGATGTCCAATAAATACTGAGTGAACAGATGGATTCAAAAATCATGAAAATAAATTCTACTATATGCATTTACTAACAGAACACCACTCAAAAATACATATAAGGACAAGTGACTAAAATTCTAGATAACAATCACCTTCACAACATATTAGAAATAGAAACACATGTTTTATTTAGGTTTATTATTCAACATATTTTGTTTTGGTGTTGAGGCATGATGTCATTATACAATACTAATTAATACCTCAAATAGTCAACATTTGTGGGTTAATATATTCCATTCAACACTTTAATAACAGTAAACAAAAACAGCTCAGCTATGCAGTAAAATCCATCAAACCACACAGATGGTTATAAGGTTTTCATTATGTGGTTTCCATAGCAATCATATTGCAAATCTGGAAGCTTCTTGCAAATAAGCAGCTTGTATTTACATGCCTCTCAGCTGCAGCACAAACTCTTCAACATGTGAAGTTATTATTCCAGTCACACATTGTTAGAGGGATCAGCAGGAGATTTTATCAGAGAAGATGAAAATAATAAAGTGAAATTGCAGAATATAATTCAAATATAGTTCTGCGTTTACTAAACTAATCAATGAGGATCAGAAATGTTCTGCAGTCACCGAAAGGTTTTAACATTAAACCCTGTCAAAAATATGGAACCTCCAGGAGCAAGCAGACCCAACAGCATCCAAAGCTTGAACTCCACTCTCACTCGTCTTTCTAACACACACTGAGCCTTCTTTCTGAGTGGAGTGAAGAGAGGAAGAATAGCAGAGAAATGAGTTTTCCCAAATCTTTTTAGGATGATGACCATTTGAGGAAATGCTTACTATGGGAAAAGTCAAGACCTTTTTTTTTTTTTTTCTCCTGCTAGATTAATCAATTGAATTTACAAATTGGTCCAGTTCCATAACGGATGGATTATTACCCTAATAAGGATCACAAATCTGTCTAGCTATGCAGGTTTTACAAAATGGCTGTTTCTGGTTTACTAATATTCTTTTTGTAAGGATAAACAACAACAACACGAAGTGAATGACCCATGTAACTGATATAAAAAGGCAGAAGACAATTTGTTAGGGAAAGCTAGGGTGTGTGATGTTCACATCAGGGCTGGGGATTGATTAAAAAAAAAAAACTTTTATTGAATTTATTGGGCTGACATTGGCAGGTGTACACGTCTATAACACATCACCTGTATATTGTATTGTATGTTCACTTCCCAAGTC